TTTTTTTTTTTTTTTTTGATAATTCTAGTGGCTTAGCGGGCGCGGGCTGGTCGTCATGAATTTATCATTTGGTCGAGCAATTGGATTTTGTTTTCTTGTGCAAGTAATAACCCTGAAATCAAAATGCTCACTACATATCCAGCAAAGAGTTTATTCAGTACCGACGCCCGTTGGTATCCGAAAAAGAGCCATATACAGTTTCTCTTCCAAAAGAGCATATGGTGATTTATACTTCAGGCATAGCTATTGTAGATATTTTCAAAATCCGTTTCTTGTATAGTCCAGCCCACTAGTAGTGGGGAAGGCAAGCGAGATTCATTAGTCCGATTTTTCAACACATTTTTTTTTCTACTCACGAATTTGGAATTGTCAGTAAGCGCTGGGTGTTCAATGGTAAAAATTGCTACATCTATGACCATGCCTTGACCCAAAGTTTTATCATGTGTATAACCGTTTTATTTAAGCCCATTTACCCACAATCGACATCATAAGAGCACCCGTTAAAAACATTCCGTAGGCAAGAGCGAAGCGGAAGTTACTTATATTTTTCATCAGTGGATCACTGATGAAGTCTCTCGCCATAAGTTCGACCAAAGAATTGTAGATTAACAAACCAGAGCAGAACCCGTCAAACACACCCACAACAATAAGCGAAACAGGACTGTTTTCCAGGTACAAATTACGGACGCCAAGCCCAGCGGCGATGCCAATGGGTGTCGTGACTGTGTATGCCGCTGAAAGATACCAAGGTATTCTTTTTAAGTGCTCAGGCCATTTGGCCGTGGCAAAACGAGCACCTATGCCCATGCCTTCGAAGAACTGGTGAAATGAAATTGCAACAAAAAGAGTCTTGAATCCTTCGCCGGCAATAGCGAGAGAAAGCCCAACAAAAATAGAGTGGAACACGATTCCGAACTCAAGAAGGTAGATGTTCACCAAGGCTTTAATCACAGCTTCTTTTGGCGCCTTTTCGGGAGCCTCGGCAGTGGACGGAACCTCGGTTGTTGTTCCAGAGTCTTCATTCGAGCTCTCGCCTGTACAGACACAGATCTCTGTTGTTTCCTCGTGGCTTTCTGCCTTTTCATGATCATGAGACCCCATGCCGCACAGCAAAAGAGCCAGGCGGTTTCTTCGATCTAAGCGTCTGTGTGTGAATGCTTCGATCGTGAACATAAGAACAACACCCATCAACGAAAACGCAGCGGACCACGAGTATTCCAGGAATATCTCTCCCACGCATGGGTGACTGAGACTCGTCTGGGACTCGCCCAACAAATGGATGAATGCAGTTGCAACAATCACCCCGCTTCCGAAATACCTCGTGAGAAAAATCACTATGTCTGGGATGCGAAAGAATTTATAGTTTATAGCAAGGAGTGGGAAGAACGACCCCGCAGCAGAAAGCGCTAGCAACACGAATACCGACGCAATCCGGGCGCCCATGTATTCGCCGTTGAATTCACTGGCAGTGCCACATGTCGACAGCATTGAAACCTTAGATGTATAATTTCATGAATGTTGGTCACTGAAAATGAAGTAAAATATTTGAGAGAGAATTTTGGGGTGAAATTTCCAGAGAAGTCTGATTCATTAATTTGTTGCAAGCGCACTGCCGGTGAAAGCTGGGGCAGAGCGGACACCTTATATAGAAATAACGCGTTCGATGAGCCGGCAAATAGCGCACCAGGCTTGGAAATTGGTGGTCACGGTATCCAGTCGCGCGGTCAAGAATTTTGCCTGGGGAAGGGTGAATCTAGATGGAACACCAGGGTTTTATACTGATTGAGACCTAAGAAAACATAGTGAAGTCACGGACGTGATAGAATGGCCAAGTTTAACAATAGCAGACGATATTTGAAAACTCTTTGTTCACAAATTAAGATGTCAAACCCCCGGAAGCTCTACCACCACCAAGCAAATGCGCGGGCAGTGCGTTCGTCTTTGCTCTTGAGCCGGGCACTCCAGCCGTGAAAAGAAGAATTTGTATGCAAGAAAGTCACATCACGCTCGGCCCAAGGGAAAACCAGATTTGGCTTTTGTTCATTAGCTGACATACACAGCTTTCCACAAAAAAGGTTCCATATTGCATCCCGGTTTTCTTGCAACGTCACCCTCGCCAGGCTACACAATGGACTTGAGAGCCATTAACCCCTATTTGCAGTATGCGACGCAGGTTGCGAGGCTTGTGGTGAATGAAGTCTCAGTACATGAACGTGTTTTTGGATACGAGCGGTGCATACATCAGCTCATAAATCGTGAGCCAGAAAGTTTAGCCGCATCGGAAGGGCAAGAAGCAAAAACATTTTGAGAAGGTATCTGGAAAGTTCTTGAGCACAGTGCCCTGGCCTTGCCACCTGGTGCATGTTTCTTTTCTAACCTCCAGTATCATGGATACAGAAATACAGAATAGCCTCCGCCAAAGCCAGAGTAAACCTCCAATTTCTCATGACCCATTGCTGCTTCCGCGCTCTCAAATTCCCGCGCTCTTGAGTTTCAGCAGGCGATGTTGGTCCGGCACTGAAAATTTGACAGGTCCGGGGCAGTGACACATTTTTAATCAATGATGTGGTTCCGTTTATTTCGTTCTCAATGAAATGATTCTCTTTACTTCTAATAAAGTTTACCTGTTGAGTGGTACGTACGCCAAATGTATGGCGTGCCCTATTTTCCTTGGCCCGAACATCCCCGGGGACGGATTTCTTGGGCTCAAAAAGGAAGGAGAAGCCATTTTTCTGTCTGCATGCAGAATGCCTCGGAAAGTATCTGAACGTATTGGTTATGCACACTGTCCTTTTGCCTGTGTGTGGAAGGAAGATATTTCATGATTCAAGCTGTCCGGGCGTTTTGACAGAGCAGGACTCTCGCGCGCACGGTACAGGCCTGATGCCAGATAAAATTGATTACACGCAGCGCGTCGTTTTTTTTGCGCAAATATTTTCAAATCTCGACAAACTTTCACGAAGTTCTATTCGTCTTACAAGAGTGTTTGTCTAGACAAAAATATGCGCAAGCCCGGAATCGAACCGGGGGCCCAACGATGGCAACGTTGGATTTTACCACTAAACCACTTGCGCTTGTTCATGTTGTCATAGTTATTCCCAGGTTGTCCTAGTTCATACTATGACCGACCTGCATGGAACCCTCGCGGATATCCTGGAGACTTCTCACAGTCTATGCAGGATTCGCACTAAGAGAGGTTGAAGTATCTAGAATCCAGTCCCCGAGAATACGGAGGGACAACGTTCACCAACTTGGACGATCCGTCCAAAACAAATACACGTTACTCTTACACATCCGTTCTACGTCTTAAGACCGACCCCGACGACCCCTTTACCCCCTTTCCGGTTTCAGTCCAAGACACGGACGAATACCGAAGTACCTGAAGGTAAGCCAGGCTTCTAAAGAAGACCTCGAGCATTTCTAGAGATACGATCTGACGATCCAAGATAATTCGATATAACGATAGGAACACACTTAATCGTTATAGTTCATGTATTACGATACTTTCCGTATGTTATTCTTAACTGGAACTTTCAGAGGTTATAAACTCTTACTTGTGGGAGAGGCCACGGGATAATAGAGCTGTCTAGGCGAGATAGGTCGCCTGACACGGGATAGGCCGTTGTCTCAGAGGATAAGACTGATAAGCTTATCCTAGTAATATTGATACCGGAAGCGTACGGTAGTAACCGAGAGTAACCTTTATTAAGGTGATCTACTCTTATGTAATAAGGCTTACCCTTCTAACTAACAGGGTGTTCAATCACCTTCATATTCACTTCTCTCCGTCTGGCATATACGACTTGCCAGACGTCACGTGCACATTCTACCAACGTGCCACGTGACTAACAGACTAATCCCAGAGGATGGTAACATCCTCGGGAAAGTACTGTTACATCATGTCTCTGCGGTTAGTGGGTCATCATATTGGAGTATGGACTAGTTGGCCTTCATAAACCGGCCCAATTTGTGTGTGGAATTCGGTATGGAAAGCCTCAGTTTTTAAGTTCTCGCGCAATCCGCCAGAATATGCGGTAGAAAAACTTTCGGAAAGCCTTGTATCAGGCAGAATGATAAACGCGTTACGATCTAATATTCGGGATCAGGGGTATACCAAGGGGAGCTTCCTTGGGTATGATAAACGGAAGGATATGGGCCGAGTCTCAATACTATCTAGGAGCTGTTTAGGGGGGGGGGGGTTGTTGTGGTATCATTGAATAATTTTGTTTCTTTAATCAGATGAATCTACCAACAAGAAGGATTCTCTGCCAAATACCATGTCAAACACCTCATTGAGTGTTCTTACTATCTTCAGAGCTTCTCACGTGTTCAGGTAAAGATCAGTTGTGAGTGAATGTTTCAAAAAACGTAAGTGAGTAATGACATTACAGGCATGCACATATCTCGCGGAGTGCTGTTCACTTTCTGATGTTATTTGTGATTTGTTTTCTTAACTTGCCTCATTAACCAAATAATGCTCATATAACTAAAGAAGTCGAGTACAAATATGTTAAACGCACTATTTATAAAATTTTACCTCAAACGATTTTTTCGTTAAAATTAGAGTTAAACTTTCTCAGAGAAACAAAATGGAAATGTTGAAATAGATCTGCAGCTATGTATTATAGTTCATCGTATTACCGATGCTTTGGTTTATATGATGATGCATACTTGGTGGAGTTCATTCGCTCATGGAAATGTTTTTCCAGACACCTTGTATCTATTAAGCAGTGAGTTCTAATGTTAAGGTTTCTCTGGTTTCAATTTCTCTTTTGACCTTTACGTAACAATTTTACACCCTAATCTATCTACATTTATACGACAAGTTGTATACAAAAAAAGAGCGAATGTTTTATGATGAATCTAGCAATACGAAAAAATACTACAATTTGGTATCTAGCCTGCTTGCGAATGCCCACCCCTTGTAAGTTGTCACGCATTTTAACGCTCTGCAATCCGCAACACTTTGGATATCATGGAATTTGAGAATTAATATTCTTTTGTACAAGCTTGTGTCAAAGATTGGCCTAGACAGGCGAACGCAATTTGGAGCCTTCGCTGCCTTTATAATTATACTCATATCTCGGATAACGCTGCAGATGACTGTTCAAATGGTATGTAATTAGTTACCAAAACCACTGACTACTTTGTGTGTACTGAATTTGAATAAACATCGAACTGTGTACCATTTGACAGGCGCTTTTCATCAGCTTTCAGATACTTCTTGAGCATCATAGCGTGAGACACCCATTTAGTAAATTTCAGCTTGGGCTCTGAGCACGCATCTGTTTACATACTGGTGACTGCGCCGCTGATTTGTATAAAAAGCCTTTTGATCTAGTTGACTAATTCACTTTTATACACCTTCCGTGAAACATTTAAAATCTAGTCAGCAAAAAATGGTCCCTAGCAGGATCGAACTGCTGATCTTGGCGTTATTAGCACCACGCCTTAACCAACTGGGCCAAGGGACCTCTTTTGCTTTCCATGCACTGGACAAAGGTAAGACACCGAGCTGTAACACATGGAATGGATTTGCAGTTGTAAGGGTTTCGTCTCCCAGATTGATTAAGTATGAAGATGCTTAAAGCAATGCACATTAATCTTCACGGCCCCGAGCGTAAAGTTTAGACTTGTGGATTCCTGGGAACATTGTTTCACGTAAACAGATATGGGCCATGAGGACTGTCCAGGCCGTGACTAACGGAAGGGAATGGGCCGAGCTAAGACACTTGGTACGTAGCTGGGAGATGTTTAAAGGTTTTTTATATATATCTTTTATATAGTTTTGCCCCTCTAATCAGATGGATTGCATTCTTTTAAAAAAAAAAAATCATTGGCTCAGATGAGAAGGTGCGAGTACCAAGTCACGAAATCTTGTGACTCCCCTCTAAGAGACGTCGACTCATAACCAATGTCAACTAACTGCATTTCATCGGCCAATAGGATGTGTTTTCGGAAGGGCCTGTGACCATAGTTCTTTTGACAAGGCGGCAAGACTTACATTTGTCTTGCCTCTTGGTTCCTAAGCAAATAAACTCTGCGAACGGTTTTAACAAACCAATAAAGGTTTCTTAGATTCTCAAAGGAAGTAATTAAAGGAGCTGGCATCTCTATTAAGTGCATTGGAGCCTAAAAGGCAATCTTTTGCCACCAGAACTGCACAGTCCCACAGTTATTATAGTGGTGGGTAAGCTTCTGATAGCTATAACAGCTTTTCCAACACAACCTGCATTCGAATCTTGACGCCCCAACTTCATTATCATGAAAGGAAATATAGAATCCGTGATAGAATCGAGGGATGGCGAGGAGATCTTTTTGCACCAACCATTCTTGTTTGTATGATTCTTTCCAAAATTTTCGCCAGCGTTTCATCGTCTTCACTTCAGGGCAGATCACAAGGAAACGCCCCGGGTGAAGTGGCAAAAGTTCTTCCTGTTTGCACCGACTCAATGAACACCTTGTATTGCTTCAATCTCATGAGGTTCTATATGTAGTTTGCCCGGATGAGACACAGCAGACACGGTCCAGTCAGTACACGCAGAGAGTTGTTGCTCCGTCATCGTACTTAACACCGGCCGTTAAAAGTCGCGAGTTCTTGGAATATCTTCCTGCAAGCTTCGAGATAGTGACATTCATTGGGGGTGAACGTCCTTTCGGGTGATAGAAAGGTCAATTTCAGTATCAAATTCTGTTGGTGCTGAGAGACAAACATTGTCAGATTCTGTAACAAATGCAGAATCTAGCAGTGAATCGACGAACACTAATACAAACAATTGGATTATCGTGACGTGGAACGGTGAAGACGATCCCGAAAACCCATTCAAGTGGCCTGTTGAAAATTGGTCTTTTATCAGCACCTGTGTTTTGAAGAAAATTTTTCGAACAAAAATCCGACCCATGATAGACCCACCCCGAGCATGATACTACCTCGGTTATTTTTTGGTAGATTCATCTGATGAAAGAAGCAAAACTATACTAGTAATTTATATAAAAAACCTTTAAAAAGCTCCCAGCTACGTACCAAGTGTCAAATAATTCGCCCGTATGTATGTACGTATTGCATATTACGCTATCAACTCCTAGGGTAAGTCTCCTGTCTCAGATGGTTGTAGCGGACTTAAGGAGTTCCTTTTTTTTTTTTTTTTTTTTTTTT